CGGTCTCAAAAAAAAAAAAAAAAAAAAAAAAAAAAAAAAAAAAAAAAACTTGAACAGAAGTGCAAGGTTCTTTAAACTAAAATTTCTGTTTTATGGTGCTATAAATAACTTTATATACATTGAAGCACGTTTGATATTTGAATATTGGCCTTTTGTCCTTTTCTTTTTCAGTGTAAAAACACATAGGATGATTTTTCAATAAAATCAAAAGAAATTTGGCAAAAAAAGGAAAAATAGAACAATGCCTGTTAAATAGTAACAAAAATTTTATCGTTCAAAATTTTTATGTATATTACATTTATTAAGTGTTGCAAATAAAATGCATGCAGTTAGGAAAGATATGTTATGAATGTTTATCTTCAAACAGTTTAAAGAATGGAAATTCTACCTCTCTGGAGTAGGACTGTTTTCCCAGCCTATAGACACAGAAAAAGTAACCAAATACCTCGGTTATCAGTCATCTATCACTATACCTTTCAAAAATCCCAACAAGGAAGATGTTCTTATTGATGTCATACTAACGAGTAAGTTGTTTTCCTTATATTTTACATATTATTTTGTAGATATTAATCAAACTTATTTTATCATAGAATCACAACAATTTAGAGCTGATGGACACTATAGAGATTCATTAGCTCAACAGCATCATTTTTTGAAAGAGAAGGCATAAGGTTTGAGAGATGAAGCATCTCGGTGGAAATCACAGCTTGTGAATGGTGGAACCAGAATTAGAATTAGGTATCAATGTACCAAGTCAAGTTCTTCCATTTTATCCATAAATCCAAATATGTAAATTAGTAAATTTGTAAGATTATTATGATGTTATTGAAATATTCCAATGCTTATTCCTCATAAGTTTATAAAATTTCTAGTGCTATGATTTTGTTTCCTTCCCTACTTTTCTTAATAAACTGTATATTTGGATTAAATTTTGGTTCCAACCCACCTTGTTCTATTTGTGTGTCATATTGAAGATGTATGTTTTTAAATCAGACTGTGTGAAGTATTTGATCATTTTGTATTAAATGTCCAAGTAATGTGAGTCAGAGAAAAAACTAACACATGAGTTTTATGAAATGCATTTTAAATCTAATGTTAGATATTTCGAATCTATCTTTACAACTGTTATTGCTACTTCTACTGAAACTATTGCTAATACAATTGTTGGGCTAAAGTTATATATATGTTAAGGCTTTTGATATAAATAACCAATCAGAATGGTTATATGAGGGCAGTTTTAAAAACTCATGGAAAGGTTGTATTATATGTTAACGCTATTTTTCCAGGAACTTTTGGAAGTACCTTCGTACTGTTGCAATTCACGCTGCCATCAGGAGTATATTGTAGACATTACCTATTTTGAACCTTGTAAAACACTGAATAGTAACATTCTCCTTAATCTCCATCAGTTTGATTGAGGGGACATTATATATTATTATCATTGCAAATTTACTATTTTTTGATTAATGCTGAAGCTGAATATTTTATCATTCACCTGTTGGAGTTGTGGTCTCTCCTGATTATTTCTTCTTGCTCTTGATATGAAATAACTTCAAAAATTAAGAAAGTAGTGTCACCTCATGTAAAATTTCCTCATAAAAACTTTGGCTGTGCTGAGGAGAGGCATGCAGTATTTAGTAAAAATTGATTGTAGGCTCAAGGAAGTCAGCAATTCAATATGGAAGAGAATTGGGCATATGTAAAAGGAGAAGAGAGAAGGCAGGGTTGAGCAGGAGTTAAAGGCATAAGGGGGGTAAGGTTTAACTGGTGGGCTAAGGCTGTGGGAAGACTGGGATCAGAGTCAAGGTAGAAGGAAGAACCATGAACAGGAGGGACATTTCTCCCTTTGAGCAGATGGGGGTAAGATAAAACAAATGTGAATACAGATTAATTGGCAGGTAGTAGACGGGCTTTGGAATTGAGAGCAGTCATGCTTACATTTTCATCTGCTGAGGAAAGGAGACATAATAGGGAATTTGAAGAATGGAATAGTGGTTTGGAATAACTGTTAAGAGGGAAAGGACGATGGAGCTGACCAAATTCAAGTATAAAAGGTATTGTGTTTGATTGGGATTGAAAGCCATAAATTTAGACAGGCACCAAAAAAAAAAAAAAAAAAAAATGTTTGTAAAGTTTGTATCAATTGTACTGCTCAGAATTCCTGGTATAGGAGTATACAAAGCAGATCAATGGATATTTCCAGGGAATGAAATTTTCAGGCCAATGCAGCCAAATTACTTCATAACTATGCAAGTATTATAAAAGTGTACTTGGATCAAGATTTTAACATTAAAATATGTTGTGAAATAATTTGTGGCTTCTTGGTTTTCTAAAATTGGTCTAAGATTCTTTCTGCTATGTAGTAGGAAAACATAGTAAGCTTGACAATTAAACACCAGTCATTTTGCAATTCAAACAGTCTTTATAAGTAAACTCACTCTTTCTTGGGTAAATGTTCAGGCTCTCAGTTTCTCTCCTTTTTTCAGTCTGAGGAGATTGGAGGTGAAGAAAATCACTGACCTCTGATATCCTAGATCCGTTTCTCTGTCTCCCTCTCCTACATGAAAAGGATCGTCCTTCTCTTTTCTCAGTGATGAGATCTCCCAGTCTGTCATATCCTTCTCCTTCTCCCATTTGTGGACTCTTATTTTGGAGGTGTCACCTACTTATCTTCTTGTGCTCATATTCCTTCGTGACTAAGCCTCACAATTTGACCTGAATTGTTGAAGGTCTACAGGGACAGATTACTGATGAGGAGAATAAATATATTTAACATATATAGCAGATATACTTATCATAAAAGGTACTAAATTAATACCTTCTCATTTAAATATTTGTAAATTTCAAAATTATTTTATGATAGGACTATGCAATCTCTTTCTATCTTTCAAAAGAAGATGTAAATATTCCTGAAGATGCTACAGAATTCACAGAAACCCCTTGGGGAAGTTGATAGCAAGACATAATAGATCACCAAGAGATTAGTTACTGGTGTAAGGGATCTGATAGCATTGTGGATCTTGCATTCCTCATATTTCTCTCTCTTCCTCCCTCCCCCCCTCCTTCCCTCCCTCCCCCCCCCCCTCCCTCCCCCCCTCCCCCCCCCTTCTCCCTCCCTCCC